ACCATAACTTATTTTCCTCTTTTCGTGCCTTTAAACCTAAAATAATTCATTTCGTGTCCTTTAAAATCATTCATTTCGTGTCCTTTTTATAAAAATGTTTAATCCAGTTTATTTTGGTCCATAATCTGGGTCCAATGATTGAATAGTTGGATGGGTCTTTAAAAGACCTTTCCAACGATATATTATAAGCCCAAATCCGAGTTATAACGAATAAGTTATGGCCAAAATATTAAACCGAGCCCAAACTGAATGTAAGCCCACCTTACCTACGACCCAATGATCATGTGGAGGGTCCAAATTATTTAATCTCATTCCTAAAAAAAATAGGATTAATTGGAAGCTTCTGTAAGTTTCTAAAAGATCTTAATTATCCTTTTTGAAAAGATAAGATTAAAGAGTTTGAAATTGAATAAAACTCCTTTTTTTGAAAATCCTATTTATATCCGAATTGAAAGACATTCAAAGATAGACAGATATTATTTTTGTGCCTCTTATTTTTTATCCAAATTTTATAAGGTTGGATATCCCTTGAAATTATCTTTCCAATGATATATTATAATATCAATTCCGATCTATAACGGAAAAGATATGAATAAAATGTCAAACTCTATCCAAAACTGACACCGTCCCACTATTTCGGCCATATCTTTACTTCTACAAAATATTTTAATCTGATTCCAATTGTGTTAGAAATTATATTTCAAGAACTTTCCAAAAAATATCTTATTTATCTTATTCCGATTTCTGGATCAAAAGATATGATAAAACAAAAACCGCAAAAACTGTTGTCTATCGCAAGAGTTTTAATCCGATTCGAACTCGATCTTTTCTTGATTCTTCGACCTTATTTTTTCCCTATAAATAGAGGTCATATCACCCCTTTTTCAATCATCAACAAGCTTGATCATCAAATAATTCTCTTCTCCCTATTTAGCCTAAATACTAGCCTCCCTATTCCATAATTGCTTCCCTTAAGCACTCCAAGGAGTTCATACAATACCCACAGTTCTATACTTAAAACCAAGGTGTGAAAAGGTAGAATTAACTGAGGGTTTGGACCAAATCATCTCTACTTTTATTTGATTTAATTGTTTTAATTTGATTTATATTCTTATTGAAGTTACTAATAGTTTATTCATGATGTAGCAATTTAAAGGAACGTGCGGAATGTGAGTAATTAATTAATTTAATTACTCTTATTTTATTTTTAATATTGCTAGTATCATGATTAGGGTTGTTATTATTATTATTATTTGATTTGGCTAACACTATTATTGTTAAATTGCTTCCAATATTAATGTATATTCTATTATTTATTTATTGATCACCATATTGCATGTTTAAAGGGAATATGTAATTGAAAATCATGCCTAATAAGATAATTTAGACAACCGGTTTAGGTTCCTTTTTAATCTTGTTATTTAATTCAAGTGATCACAAATATTTTAGAATAATGCGTTGCATTAATATTAAACCAATTTAGCATAATAATAGTTTAGAGCAAATTGAATATTTTGTTTGTATGCCTTTGAGATCGCAAGAATCATTTTTCACTATAAGAATCGAGTAGATGCCAATACGGGCGAATGTGACTCCATGAATCACTTCGTACCATCATCCCCGATCCTCCTTTTGTGGTTCCGAACCATATGGAGTTAGTAATCTCATGGATTATGAATGGGGTGTAACCTTCACGGGTCAATCGTTGTTGCCTATCGTTGTCCCTTATTCGTGGTTGCCTTTTATGATCCGTGAACGGTTTACAAGTTCCTTAAAAAATTGTTGGCGGCTCCCTACTTTATTTGTCCCTAATCGTTGTCCCTAATAGTAATGTCAATTCCCACTTCCTATGAGTGCCAAGCATATTTACACCATGCTTTTACGTAGGCGCACTTCAAACGACGCCTACAGTGGGAAAAGGGGAATTTGTTTTTTTTTTTTTTTTTAAAAAAACTTCTTTTTTTGTAAAATTTATCAAAATTAAAATTTAAAATAAAAAACTTTGACCGATTTAATGACATGTGTAATTTTACCTGGTATACACAGGTAGGTTGACCTGTTTGGTTCATTTTGGGAGAAAAAAATGCAAACTTTTGTCTATTTTGGGAAGATTTAAAGGTTGGTCCATTATGGGAGAATGGGACAAAGGTTGGTTTGTTGTTGTTAAATTTTTCAATAATAATAATAATAATAATAAATTATAAGAAAATTAAAAAAAAAATTATTAAAAAAAATCGCCTAAATCAGACCACTTTTTGCCAAAAAATTTCATTTATGGTGTTAAGTGCACCCAAGCTAATATTTCAGGGTGTTTTGGCTATGCCGCTTAGTTCAGGATCCGAAGTGCACCTAAGTGTTGAGGCCAATTTTATTTTTATTTTTTTTAAAAAAACTGTGCGGGAAATTTTTTTTATGAGATGATGACACATGTACGTAAGGATAACTACGGACATTACTTTAATATGTAATAAAATAATAAAGTATAGATAGATTATATGGTAAAACACTAAACATAGGTAGTATGCATCTTCTATTCAATTTAAGAATTGGGAATTAATATAGGCACGAATTCTTCTTCACCTTAACCAAGCTCATTTGCGTTCACCAAGGAGAGTTATTCATCGATATCCTTAATTTCTTTCTCCTAATCTTGAAGTTGAGCACTCATTTGCTTAGGCTTAGCCATGGTCTAAGTAGTTTCTCTATTTCAGATATTTAACCATGTTGTTTTGATTGTATTAAATTTGGGCTATTGAAGTTACATTGTTCTTCAGTTGGATCTATGGGCAAGATAGAGTAGTCACTAACTATGGATAGTATGTCTAATGATCCTTGATTATTGTAGCAAGTCTTCCCCTTTCTTGAACACTGTTAAGTTGTTACCTCGTTATTCCATATATTTTACTTTAAAGGCTTGAAAACATGTTTACAAAAAAATAAAATAAAAGGGACACACAAGTGACTTAAACATTGTCATGGACTTAATATTGTCTTGAAAATGAGTTTAAACTAGAACCTTTCATAGTTAAAGTCTCCTAAACCTATAAACAACGACTTCAAATAGAATTGGATGGATCATAAATACTCAATTAAATATAAACTAGACTTGATTACGAAAACAAGCCTAAGGGTGCAGACAAGGCAAATAACGTAGATTTGATTTCAAAATCGAGCTAAATTAGGACTTAAAAAGACTTTTGATTTGAAATTGGATCAGATCTATTGTGGTTGCATGACTGGCCGTAAATGAAAAATTAGATTTGGAAAGAGGCCAACCATGTATGGTTTTATGATTGAGCCTTTTAAGTTAAAGTACGAATTAAAATTAACTAGATTAGACTTTACACAAAATTGGAAGTAGAATTAGATAACTTTGGGCTAAGACTTGACAAAAAATAAAATTGGACTTGGACTGACTTAGACTTGCATGAGACAAATACATTGACTTTGGCTAAGCTTTGGATCAAACTTTGGCTAAGCTTTGTATCAGACTTTGACTAGTAGACTAACTGGAATTTGGTTTCCTTGAAATCGGAAATTGAGTTTCATTCTATTTTGAGACGAGCCAATTTTCCATTTTAAAAATTGTCTTGGTTTTTTTTTATAATATTTGACACATTAATTTAGGATAAATTTGGTTCATAATTATGAAAACTTTATTTATTAGGAAAAAATTTGACTCAAATATATAACTTAATTCAATGGATAATCTAAGCCCATGGGCCTTTGTGGGTGTGACGGCCCGACCCACATGCTTGCACATAATAAAGCCATGGACCCATGTGCTTTCCTTAACAAATCCAATTTTCCTTGCACTTTATAAGTTATGTATAGTATTTAGCTTGTGTAATGCGCGGGTTAAATTTCTTTGATAATATATATTTTTAACTTTTTAAAATCTAATGGTTCTATTAGGATTAGTTGTGGATTGGATTAAAGCCAAAATATGTACTCCATTCATTTTTATTTAAGTGTCCCAATTTGACTTTGTCACTATTCATACAAGCTTTGAGACACGCATATTGTGTGTGCAATACAATAAATTTATATGTTATTTTTTTTCTCCTTAAATATTATCTATTATCATATTCTAATAAAAAAAAAGGATGGTAAGTTTTTTTTTTTTTGTTGTTGTTGTGTGTTTGTGTAAAGATGGTAGTTATACTTACAAAAAAGATAGTATTTTTTACCAAAAAAAAAATATAGGATGGGCATTTTGGGAAAGTAAAATTTATCACTCAAAACCCCTTTCACTTTACATATTACTATACATGCATCAATTTGAATAAAATCAAAGAGTATTTGTTCGATATTAATAAACACATAAGTTAACTTCTGCAAGTCTGCAACCTAAAAGAAAAAGATCAGACATCCCTAATATATACTTAAGTAGTAATAGAATTGAAGGGATGAACCTATCAAAAGCCAAATACTTATGTACTTTGTATCACTACAAGAAAAAGGGGAATTAGCGACGGTCAAAGTAGTCGCAAATCCGTCGCAAAAATGGATTTGCAACGGATTTGCAACTACTTTGGTTAGTCGCTAAAGACCTCGTCGCAAATCCATTTTTGCCACTAATTTTGGAGTAGTCACAAATTTAGCGACGGATTTGCAACGACTTTGCAACTGCTATTTAGCGACTAACTTTGAAATTTTAGCAACTAAATCATTTTCCGTCGTAAAATATTAGCGACGGATTAGCGACTACGTAGACCAATGGTTTAAGACTACGAAGACCAATATTTTGCGACGGATTAGCGACTGCTAAACCAAACTTTTGTGACTATAGAGACTAATTTTTTTTTGTGATGGATTAGCAACTACCGAGACACAGATAATTTCCACTAACCAATCAGTGGCTAAATTTTTTTTTTTCAGTTGGTAGATTTTTGCACTAACTATAAGTATTTTGAGACTGATTTAGTGACGAACAATCAATTGCAAAATAAATAAATAAATAAATAAAGATACCATGCATAAAATCACTAGTGGAAAAATTGATAAAAGTTTCTATACATACATAAATGTTACAATTTCGCAAAGTATAATTTACAATATACAATGTAATATAATTTACAAGTATAAAAAATAACAAACTAGTATAAAATTTATATAATAGCTTTGATCAATATGCTTTAACCGTCGGTGCATCAGCAGCAGTGTCGTGACAATAGGAGCAGTAATAGTGTTGTGGAAACAACGATAGTTTGGTAGCAGCAACAACAACAATTTGACAACAGCAACACCAGCAACAGTTTGGTGGCGATAGAAGCACCTATTTAGTAATAATAGCAGCAACTGTGGCAGCAGTAGCAATAGATATTCAATTTGTGAGAACAAACTTGGTTTTTGCACCACCAACAAAACAGAATAATCTAAGATGTTAGATTATTAGATTTATCATAAAACACATAGCATAACTACACAAGGTACCTATGATGTTTTATTCACCTTCTGACTGCTTACATGCATAATCAAATGCAGTGCTTCATCAGAATACTAAGTATCACGTTAATTGGCTAAATACTCATCTTGAAGTACTTAGTTAAGTGATTTCCATGCCAGCTAAACAATGACTTTTTATCCAGCCCCATCATATTTGCATAAATTCCTGCAATATTGTATTTATTATACTAATCTAGTGTTCTCCATAACCTAAACCTATTCTTCCAGACCCAACTATCACTCTTTTAAAAGATAAAAGTGCAATGAAACAGGAAAATTGAAGTGGTCTTGCAAATCGCCAGATACCTTGTGAGATTTTTAATACAAACTAACCAAAATAGTATGAAATAATGACATACAGTCAAAAAGCAACACATATGCATTATGATATATGAAAAAGATAACTTACAGCATATATCACCAGAGTAGGGCACTTCAATTCCGTATTTTTCTTATATTCTTCATCAAAGCATCATAGGGTTAGCTCTAGGAAGAACGGGGGGTTCAACACTTAAGTAATTATAAGACCAGCCTACAAGATTCACAGCCTAAAAAGCCATAAAAAGTATACCAAAGAACACCAAGATAATTTAACTAACTTCATCTTCAGTTTTTCTATTGATTCGATTGCACATCACACCAATCCAGGCATATATACAAGCACACATATAAATTGAAAAGCGTGTATAAGATGAATGTACACGCACTAATGAGAAGGGAAAAAGGAGGCAGAACACTATACTTATAATCAAAGCTTATGAATTTCAAGTATCATGAAGTATCCCAACAAACAAAAATTTGTTACTCGTATATTCCTCCTTATATGATCAAACTAATATTAGTCATGAGCATGGGTCAAACCCAAATCCGTACAATTTCAGCTAATTCGATAATTAAAACCATCCATAACACTATAATCGCAATAAAATTGTCATCTGCAACATAAAGAGCAATGATATCATCACCAACTAATGATAGAAACTTGTTTAATATTCCACAGTAGCATAAGTGTTCAGATTTATATTGCCCAAAAATAAAAAGCTCGACTTTCAACAACATTGGATATTTAGAAAAGCGTACATCAATTTGTATGATTTATAATTATAGAAGAGGGTGGGGTGATTCCTACATATATCTAGTATTCAAACAAATAATTTCAAAAGACTAGTTCCAATTTCTTGTGAGCAGGATTATCTTAAGTATTACTGCAAAGAAGAGCACATAAGCCATTCATCTGATCATTGTCTATGTCAGAACTACAAACATGAAATATATATCAAGAGAACTCAACAACATATGCAATCACTTCTGATCTTGGGGGCTACAATAAGATAATGAGGATCTTGGCATCAAATGACATATTCTTTGCAAAGAAAAATACCTTTCTAATAAACTGGTAGCTATTGACAATAAACCCACCTTCAATTGCTTGACATTATTAGGGAATTGTGGAAGTAGCATAAAACTTTAGGAATGAATCATATTCATATATATAATATAATATAATATAATATAATGTAAAAGTCATTCATGAACATTAAAAGAAAGTGAACGACTAAACCAAAAGTTTAGGAATAAAATTATTGTTTTACATAGCTTACATCCACTAATGTAATTGCCCATGAGTGTAATGGCAATTTTCTACAACACCATAATTTCAACATTATTCTAGTTCTAGTACATTACAGTAGTAAATTGACAAAAAAAAATGGGTTGGGATCTCAAAAGTGATTAGCTCTTAAAAGGATCTGCATTTCAAGCACTCCATTATAAAATTAATCAAACAGATTCCATGAAAACAAGAACCCCGCAAAATATATAACAAAAAATCATGCATAAAATACGATAATTAGAAGAAAAAAACGCAAGCTTTAACATTGAATCTCCAAAACAATTCAATAATCCCAAATAATGAATTAACCAATTGATCTCAATATATGAAATAGCTAAAATCAATTGATTGAAAATCATATGAATATGAGAACTGGAAAAAATGAGAATAATTAAATTATAAAGGACCTTACATATAGAGGAATCTGATGGTGCCGGTGTTTAAAGAGTTCGGCAACGCGACGTGAGCAGCAAGGGTGGAACGACCGCAATGACAGCGGTGTTAGCAACAACAGCGGCGACGGCAACGGAAGCGGAGGCAGCAACGGCAGCGAGGCAACAACGGCTGTAGGGGGAGTTTTTGTAGTTGTGAGAGTGTGAGACTTGTGACTTCGTGAGTATTGAGTAGCAAGTTAGCAACGCTAGGGTTAGGCTCTGAAAGTTGATGCTTAAAGAAGCATAGGTGGGGACGTGGGATGTGCTGAAGTGCACCATATTATGATGTTATACCCACTAAAAATGCTTAAGGGGTTAACTTAGCTATATTTAGTTCGCTTTATCACACCCTTTGTTCCAAAATAATGCTTATTAATAATAATAAATATTGTTCATCAACATTTTATCACTAATGTTTATTGATAATTAGAGATATTAAGGTAGTCGCATATGTCAGTCGCATATTAGCGATTGCATAACAACTACTGTAAAACAGTCATAAAGGCCATGTTTGGTAAATGACTTTTTGGTGGCTTTTTGGTTAGCTTTTGGCTTTTTTATGAGGTCAAACAGCCAAAAAATGTGTTTGGTAATTGGCTTTTTAGCTAGTGAAAAATCTGGCTTTTAAGCCAAAATGAAAAAGCTGCTTTGAGTAGCTTTTTTGTTAGCTTTTGTCTTGTTAGCCCACAAATTATCTAATATACAGCAAACTACAACAATTAAATTACCAAACACTTTTATAAGCAGTCAGCTTTAACAGTCAATTTCAAAAGCCATTATAAACAGCCAAACATACTAGCTGGTCAAACAAGCCAAGTGAACCACCCAAAGCCAACTGCCAACAGCCACTTGCCAAACAAGGCCAAAATTTGCGAGTACTAGTCTTTTTTAGCAGTAAAAATATGTTTTTTGCGACTTATTAAGGTAGTCGCATATATTAGTCACAAATTAGCGACCACATAGCAACTCCTATAAAATCTGTCGCAAAATTTGCAACTATCAGTTTTTTTCAGTAGCAAAAATATTTTTTTGTGACTTATTATTAAGGTAGTCGAATATATTGGTCGCAAATTAGCGACCACAAAGCAACTACTGTAAAATCAGTCGTTACATTTGCGACTATCAGTCTTTTTCAGTCACAAAAATATTTTTTTGCGACTTAATATCATTGTAGTCGCATATATTAGTCGCAAATTAGCGACCGCATAGCAACTAGTGTAAAATCAGTAGCAAAATTTGCAACTACCAGTCTTTTTTAGTTGCAAAATTATTTTTTGCGACTGATTACTATGGTAGTCGCAAATATCAGTTGCTAATTCCCCTTTTTCTTGTAGTGTTTGTGTTAAGAATATTTTCTTAATATTTTCCTTGCCTTTTCATTCCACTTCACTGTCTATATATACAAGTGATAACAAAATAAAGCATAACAAAATTGGCATATGAATATACATTAGCAAAAATTACTACTAACAAATTATAGAGAAACATATCTTTAATATCGTAATATTAATCACAAAAATAGTAAAATTGGAATAGAATAATACATACAAACTATATTTTCGATTCTCCCATCAACCCCATTATTAGTAATCAAAGAACACAAAGATTTTCCTCACAAAAAAGGGAAAAATTTGCAAACTGCAGCCATTAAAAGTTCATATTTTGCAAATTGCAACCATTAATTTTTTTTTTTTTTTGCAAATTACAGCCCAAAAGTTCGTATAAATTGTAAATTACAGCCCAATTCAACTTTTACATTGATTTACATGTCGAAAAATCTCCGATTAAGGTTTTAGGGGCCATTTTAGTTCTTAAGGGACCAAATTGAGCTCGAAATTAGCAAAAATAATAACATAAATGCCTCATTTTGCGTAACAAAAATATATCGGTTTATGGGAAACTGTAAAAATGAGACACTTACATTATTTTTTTGCTAATTTCGAGCTCAATTCAGAACCTAAGGACTAAAATGGCCCCTAAAACCTTAAACGAAGATTTTTTTTAACATGTTAACCGATGAAAAAGTTGAATTGGGCTGCAATTTACAATTTATACGAACTTTTGGGCTGCAATTTGCAAAAAAAAAAAAATTAAATGGCTGCAATTTGCAAAATACGAACTTTAAATGGCTGCAATTTGCAAATTTTCCCAAAACAAAGAAACACATAATTATATTGAAAATTTTAGACAAAATTTAAATATCAAAATAAATTTATAAAAAAAATATAAAAAATAAAAGGGAAGGAAAATTACAACTAACTTTGAAAAAATGAGAGAAATTGGAGTGAAAAAGGATTAATCTGATCATAATGACAAATTGAGGGGGAGGGGGGAAGCAAATTGACAATCTAATTTTTGTTCAAAATATGAGGAAGAACGAAAAACTAAAGGCCAAATAAAAAATAAAAAATGAATGACATCTATTAACTATTACTAAAACAAAACTTTGTTGATATCATCAATGTCCATATGTCACTCTCATAATAAAAATTTTCCCACATAAATGCATGATGATGTCATCTTCTTCTTTTTTTTTGAACTATTATATTTAATAGATTTTGAAATTTGAATAATAGAAGCTTCTATACTACAAATACAACCTATCAATTTATCCTTAAAAAAAAGAAATAATTTTAAGTTGTACACTAAAAAATAGACTCCTACATTAAAATATGTATTAGGCAAAGTTGAACAGGTATCAAAATCTAAAATTTTCAAATTACAGATATTTTGTACAAGGTGCATATTCTTATTTATTTTTATCCATTTTTCTCAAAAAAAATGTACAAATTATAAAAATAAATTTTATATAAACTGTGCATCGCACGGGTTCTAACCTAGTGAAAAATAATGATGGACAATCAAAGGAAAATGAAATAAAAGATAAAAAGTTAAAAAAAAACAAAAAAAAAAATTAACGTTTCAGTTACACACCCAAAAAAAAAAGGTGAAATGGGACATGTGGCAAATTGTTTGTAAGAGATTCTGTTATTAAATATTAGTATTGATATTGATGATGGTTGGTTATAGAACTTTCTTTGTTATTTCTCGTCAAAGACGCATATAGGATTATTTCATTGGGTAGGCGTCTCCCATAACTTTTTTATTAAATAAAAAGAAAAGACCTAAAAAAATGTTGGCACCAACTTGTTTTAGTAGAGCATTTGGTAAAATAGTAAAAACCAACTAAGCCAACACAAGTATGTGGTATTTAGTGCAGCAATAAAGATTTTATATTAACAAAATTTATGTTCATGGGGCGTCGTGGCCTAGGTAGGCCCGCACCAGATCCGTCTATGTTTCTCATTGTGCTTAATAATGCTCCATCTGTCCCATTTTGTTTGTACTATAGAGTCATAATCTCTCTCTCATAAAAGGTGGGTCCATGGTGCCAAAAAATAAAATAAAATAGAAAAATAAACGGAGGGAGTACTTAGTTTAATGTTTTAAATATTTGTATTAAGATTAGTTCTTTGCACGAGCAATGCTTGGATATTCATAAGAAAAAATTAAATTTAGGGAAATTCTCACTGGTAGCCTTGTGTTTTTGCTTTTTCTCAATGGTAGCCAATTTTTTTTTTCAATTCTCAATGGTAGCCTCAAACTTTTAAAAAGTTACAAACGTAACCTTATTGTTACAAAAACGTTATTTGCCCGTTAACTTTAATGATTTTTGGTTACATATGTGAACTAAGGTTAGGTTACCCATATTTTTGGCTCCAAAGTTTCCCTCCAAAACAAATATTTCCCTCTTTTATAAAACCCCATTCATATCCCCTGTTTCTCTATTTCTCTGTATCTCTCTCTCTCTCACCAAACACTTTCTCTCTCTTGAAAACTTCAGTTTGGTGTCAATGGCTGAACAATGGACGAAGATGCAAAGGTGCAACTGCTATCCACTAAAGTACGCAGACATTAGGATATCTGATACAAGAACCAATCCTGGGAGAGCATATTACAAGTGCAACTTATGTGGATATTTTTCGTGGGTGAATGAAGTGGATGAACTTGTATTCAGGAGCAAATGAGTTGGGTCAGATGTTCTTGCTGCCATGAAAGATGGCTTGAAGATTTGTGTGAAGAGTGTTGTTGTGTTGATTTTCCTTTTTCTTTTCATGAATATGATGTAATGAATATATGTATGGTTGGTGAAGGGTACTGATTATATGTATGGGTGGTTAAGGGTAGTTAAGGTTGTAAGCATCCCAATTGATAATTGAATAAAAATGTTGTTTGCTAGTTTACTTGAATTTGCAAATCAATTCTTACCATAAATTAGCAAATATATTTGTTCATCACAAGTTTGACCAAATTTGCATACAAAGTAAAAACACAGTAATAATGTCATACACATAACTAGGACTTCAAAGCTAATTGTTTTCACTTTAAAACAGAAACATCACATATCTGTGAACTTGAGTGGGAATCAAAAAGGTTGGGAAGCAGCTAATGGCCCAACAGATCTTGACCTTCCTCTTGTTAGTGGTTGAGAAGTTGTTGCAGGCTGCTCTTTGTGATGTTGCTTTTTTTGCTTATTCTTTTGCTTTGCTGTCAACCCTCCTTTGCAAGTCAACAGATTGTGGCCAAATGCATTGCACTTAATGCATCTGATTGTCTTAGCCCTTTCGCCTTTCCTATCTTCATCATCAGCCCTTTTTCTCTCCCTATCTTCATCATATGATGTTCTGAATTTGCCCCAACAGTCAACCAAAACAAGGAGAATAACAATGGCCCTAGGAAAGATTTTTTCCATTTTTCATAAAGGTGCTTGCAGCATTACCTCCTATCAACTTCTGACCAACACTCACTCAATGCCACATTAATTCCCTGCAAATGGTGGCTTAGTCAAGTTAAGTGTGTAACAAGCTATTATTATAAACAAAAAACAACTTCAGAAAAGCACTACAAGCTCACCTTCTTCCTATCTGAAATTATGCACCAACTGTCTCCCCTTCCCAAGTCTTGCAACAGGTTTTTCAAATGCCAGACAAAGAACATCCAGCTGTCTGAGTCTTCAGCAGTTATAATTGCCCAAGCAAATGGGAACAACTCATTGTTCCCATCCAAGGCTACAGCTGAGAGCAGAACACCTCCATGATTCCCCTTGAGGTGTGCACCATCAACACCTATCAACCCCCTACACCCTTTCAAACCATTTGTGACACCTTTGAATGCAATAAAAATGCTTTTGAACACAAGTGGCTTCTCAGGCTGTTCTACTAGCTCAACCCATGCACAATGAGCAGCAGATCCTTGGTTTGTGCTCTTTATCATCTCACAGTATTTGGGAAGTAAGGCATAGCTTTCATCATGAGACCCATGAATCTCATTTAAAGCATGTGTTCTCACCCTATAAAGTGTACTCTGGGCCATTTAAACACGATACCTCTGGAAAAGTATAGCATTTAGGAACTTTGCTGATATATCATTGTTGGCCCTCACATCTTCCATCAGCACCCTTGTAGCCCATGCACAGTTCACCATTGGATTATTCACATCTAACCCAGAACAAGTGTGTTCAGCATTTTTATGGACTTAATTGCCCATGTAATTCCATCAGGTAATTTAGATGAGTGTAGTCTCTAGTCACACCCCATTGCACAACACTTGACAGTGTACCTGCTATTTGTTGCCCTCTCAACTATGACTGAAAAGCCACTTTGAATACAATAATCCCTCACCACATCCCTCACATGTTGCTTATCAGTAAATAACAGCCAAGGTTTAAGGACAATCTTGCCAAATTCTGCATCTTTGTAAAGCTCACCATTCCTATATAAGTTGATGAAATAATTGTCATCATCTTTGCCATCATCAAACACCTCATCAGTGAAAGGATCAAAGTTGTCATGTATTGCAACAGGCCCATCCATCTCTTCTTCATCATCCTCATCATCAACACTCTCATCATCATCATCATCCATCAACACTCCCTCATCATCATCAGGGATGTAATCATCTTCATCATCATCTTCAAACCCTATCAGGGTGTCATCACCTAAACTAACAGTGACCTCCCTTCTCCTTCTACTCCCAACCCCTTGACTGAGACTGTTGCTCCCCTCATTGACTGAATTCTCTATTACTATCCCTTTCCTCCTAGCTGTTGTAAGAGGAATCTTCCTCTTAATAGTAGTGAAAGCTTGGGAAGACCTAGTTGACCCTGATGCCTTTCCTTGCTCCCCTATTTCAGGTGTAGGGTTGAATGGAGTAGGAATCACAGAAGGTACAATGGGGTTTTCTTGTGTTTGAATGTCAGCATGGTCATTGGGAAGAGGGGGTTGGGTTAGGTGTGCAGTATTGTAGACACCCATTTGTGTCTCCCCAAAACCAAACCCAGTGATGAGTACCTTTCACGTCGAATCATAATTGAATGAAATGAAAGTGTGGAAAGGTCTAGTGTTGCGGAAAGTTTTTATTTCTTTTCTCTTCTCTCTATTTTTGAAAACTTTATTTTAAGAAAACAGCCAATCCAGTTTTTTTGGTCCATGATATGGGTCCAATAGTAGTGTAGTTGGATGGGGCTTGCAAAGACCTTTCCAATGATATATTATAAGCCCAATTCCGATAAATATTGAGGAAATTATGGCCATTTTACCAAACTGGGTCCGGTTTTAGCTTTATGTACGGCCCAATGATTTTGGGGAGGGCCTAATGTGATTTATCATTCCTAATGCAATTAGGAATGGTTTTAGTCTTCTAGAATCTTCTAAAAAGTTCTTTTCATTCCTAATTCAATTAGCATTGATAAATTGACTTTGTTGACTTTTCAGAGTTTTAATCAAAATCAAATAGCATTTTCGAAGAAATTATATTATTTTATCTTCCAGTACGGGAAATTTATCAGATTTTCAAAAACGCGTTAAAATCCAGTTTGGCGTTCGACCCCAGGCATTGGCGCCTGGAACCAGGCTTGGCGTCAGGCGCTAGCCATTGGTGGCTGACGCCAGCTAGCCAGGGTTGGCGCCAACCTCGTTTTGCGTGCGCCAGACTCTGTTTTGTTAATTTTATCTTTTTGGCTGATTTTCTCTATAAATAACGTATTAAAACTCCGTTTTCGATAACCAGATTTCATCAATTCTTATTTCAATTCATCAATTCTCATTAAGATTTTCTTGATTATTCTCTCTCTCTCTTTTTCTAAACTAGCCTTTTCTCAAATACAAAATTCCGCATTCGCAAGATCTAGATACACCTAGCCATATTCGAAGTTGCCTTCGCTCTAGACGTGAAAGGTTTAATTTATGAGGGTTTGGTCCCAAATCTCTATTTCAATTATTTAATTTAATTGTTTTGATTATTATTTTCCTTGAAGTTACTAACGTGTGTATTTTGTTATTAGAAAGAGGTACGAGGCATCAAAGTAAGTGCTTTAATTGATTAATTGATATTATGATGTAGACATCATGTTTATATTGTTATTATGATATTCCTAGTATCATGTTTAGGGAAAAGGTTATAATATCAAATATATTAAATATGATTGTTACGATGCTTCCTATGTTCTTCCTAATATTAATTCATGTTAGTATCATGTTAGGGTTAAAGATTTGATTTTTATTGCTTAGTGACATGCTAGGGTTTGTTATTAATCTTGTTAGTATCATGCCTAGGATCTTGCTATGTTTATTATGCTTTAATATTAACATGAACATGATTATGATCCAGCACTTTCTTAGGCAAAATAAATAAATTTTCCCAATAAGAGTGCAGGGAAAGGAGAACTGAGTTAACTAGAACCACCCTTGCATGATAAGACATAGTTCTCCCTCTCCAAAACTTAATTCTGGCTACCACTTTGTCAATCAGAGTCTGACAGTCATCAATAGATAACTTTTTAGCATTGACCTATACCCCTAAGTATCTAAAGGGAGCTGCCCTTCCTTGAAACAAGAAAACAAGATGATTTTATCTTTAACATCTCGGGGAACATTGCAAAAGTAAACATTAGATTTTCCTTCATTAGTAATCAACCCTGAGGTAGCAGCAAAAGTAGCTAACCCTCTCAAAAGCAAATTCCTAGATTTCTCCTCACCTCTACTCATGATGATTAAATCATCAGCAAAAACAAGGTGGTTAAGCTTAACCCCTTTGCATCTAGGGTGGAACTGAAAATCCTTACTTGTCCCAATTTTATGCAAAATCCTGGACAAATACTCCATGCAAATGACAAAAAGGAGGGGAGTGAGAGAGGATCACCTTGCCCGAGCCTTTTTTTCCCTTGAAAAAATCATTTAACCTCTCCATTAATAACCAAGGAAAAGCTAGGAATTCTTACACATTCCATAACCATTTTGATGAAATGATTAGGAAAATTCAAAGCAGTCAACATATATTCTAAGAAATTCCAATTGGCTGAGTCATGAGCTTTTTGAATATCCACTTTAACCATAGAGCCCTGGGGAGAGCTCTTCATTTTATACCTTCCTATAATATCCTGCACAATGCAAATGTTGTGATAGATACTTCTTCCTTTTACAAACCCAGAATGATTCTGAGCTATTATATCAAGGAGCAACTTTGTAATGACTTTATAGACCACATTACAGCATGCAAATATGCAATAGGTCTGAAGTCAGTCACACTCTCAGGTTGGTCACACTTAGGCAACACCACCAAGTTAGTGTAGTTGATCTCCTTTAACAACTTGCCAGACTGAAAAAAATTCCAAAATAGCATCACAAATATCATCACTAACAGAGTCCCAACTCAACTTATAAAAGGAGATATTGAAACCATCAGGACCAGGAGCTTTAACTCTAGGGATAGCAAACATAACCTTCCTTATTTAATCTCTAGTGACTGGATTTTGCAGAATATTCTGATGCTCAGTATATAAAACTGACCCTTGAGAAATTATAACAAGATCCATTTTGGAAGAGCAAATCTGTTTTGTGCCAAGCAGCCATTTATAATAGTCAGTAAAGGCCCCAGCTATACTGGTCCTACCATAACACCAGCTCCCATTCATGTCTTTGATAGACACTACTCTCTTCTTATAAGCTTGCATTTTTATACTCTTATGAAAGAAACCAGTATTCTCATCCCCCATTTTAAGCCATTTCAACTTGCTTTTTTACTGAGGAAAAGAAAAATATTCCTTTCTTATCTTAGCATAAGCATCAAGCATCTGAGTTTCTTTATCCTGCAAACCCATATTGCTATAATTAGCCTGGATTTGCTTCTGAACTTTTGTCAACTCATACTTAGCAGAAATAAATCTTGCTCTAATTTTTTAATATTCAACCTTATTGAGAAACTTTAATTAAGAGCTTTTTAAACCTCTTTAAGCTTTTTAACAATTTGAAACATTATTTTCGTTCCAGCAAAATTATGATTGCCCAAAGCTTTCTTAACCAAGTTTCCAAATGCAGGATTCCCACCCCACATATCAAAGAACGTAAAAGCCTCATGAACTGTCTTGATATCTTCCTCAAAATGGATAATAGCTGGACAGTGATCAAACCACATTTCTAGATGTTGTGAACAAAAGAGTCAAGGAAGATATTAATCCATTCTAGATTAATCATAGCTAGTCATGTCAATTTTGTTGTACACCCTAGCTTCACGTAGCTACTTATTAGTCCATGTATACTTTGCCCCAGCTTAGGCCATGTCTTGTAGATCACAAAACTCAGCACATTCCTTGAAAGGAGCCATTTCTCTATTACTAATCTGCCTGCCAATCCTGTCCTCAACATTCAATGGAGAGTTAAAATCTCCAGAACCCATCAAAGGCCCTGAACATAACCCAACTAGCAAATGTAATTGCTACCAGAATTCAACTCTATCACTAGCATCATTATCCCCATAGACAAAAGAGCACTCAAAACTCTTTAGTAAAGTCTTATTCAAGATTCTAGTATGTGTGATCTGAGGAAAAATACACACTATATGCACACCAAGGAAAACTTGTAACCAAGCGACCAAGATTCTGCCACCTTTCACTTCACCAAAGTTAGAGGTAACACACCACTCGGGAAATAATCTCTGGCAAACATAAGAAAACTTCTCCACAGAAACCTTGTTCTCAATCAGACAGCAGAGACCAATTTTATTCTGAATTAAGCAACTTCTAATCTAAACCTGCTTATTAGGGCTATTTAAGCCCTAATGTTCCAAATTATAGCTCTAATCATATCCCACAGCAGAAGATCCTCTAATATGAGCTTGAATAGCTATAGGAACCTCCCCAACCACTAACTTGTCCTCATTGTCCATGCCTAAAGCACTACAAGAATTCTAGATAGGAATTACTTCCCTCCCATTGTCAGATGATTGTCTTGGACCATAATCACTCAAGGTCTTTTTTTTCACGAACAGACTCAGGAGCTACAGTACTTTGAGCAGGTACAAGTAGGGGTGAGCAAAAAATCAGGGTACCCTGAATCAGAATCGGAACCTATTAGGAACTGCAGGTTCCGGAACCGGAACCTGTACAAGAGGTTTCGGTTCTGGGTAGCAAACTGGAGAACCTGTTGTAATAGGTTCCGGTTCAGGTTCTCAATTTTTTGGAACCGGAACCTGTAGGGTACCCTTTACCTGATAAAAGTATCACTTAATTTCAAATTATACACTAATTCTTACTCAATTTTTAAATAATAAATATCAAAATTAAAATTATAAAAATATATATATATTAAATTTGTTAGACAACTACTATTAGTTTGTCTTATTTGCAAGTTGCAAACATTATAAATTAGTGACCAACCAGTTTTTTATTAAAAAAATCCGCAAAAAAGTTAGTGAGTATATTATAAAACAGGGTACCCTACCGGAACCTGTAGGTTCCGGTTCCGGTTCCCAATTTCCAGGAACAGGTTCCAGTTTCGGTTTCTGGAATTTTTACAGGGTACCCAATTATGCTCACCCCTAGGTACAGGTTGTACCAGCTTAGGTCTCCATTCCTTCCTTATCTTCCCAGAGGGACAATGATAAAAAAACATGACCCAACCCTCCACATCCTGAACACCATTGAGGCTTCCATTACCAGTGAACTTTTGGAATAAGCAACACATCATTCTCATCATAGAATTCAATAGAGTCCACAAAATCCTGTCTCAACTCCACTTCCACCATGTATCTCACATACGAAACTCTATCTCTAGATTGAGTATCAACATCAGGCTTAATTGGAGTACCAATTAATCCAATAATTTTCTCAAGACATCTTTTCCCCCAATATTTGAGTGGTAAACCATGCAATTGAACCCAAATTGGAATTTTATGCACATCATTCACATTCAATTCCATCCTATCTTTCCATTGTCTTAGGCAAATAGGCTTCTTATCCATTAATAGATTCGTACTAGCTAAGGCTATATCCTGAGACTCAACATTCAAGAATCAAATAAAAAACACACCCTTCTTCAAAGGAATTACCTTATCTATGTTCGATTTCCTCCAAATTCTCCAACAATACCCTTCAAAAGTCCTAATATGAGGACTAAAAGCAATAGTAAATGCCACAACCCCTAGTTCCAATAATCCAATTCATCAATAATATCCTCCATTGCCAATTTTAAGCTAGGTTTATCACAATTATCATGCATAGTATCTCTAACAGTAATATTAGGATCAATTTCAGAATCAATCGGAACAATTACAGGCGAATTCGAAGATACTTGCAATCGAGAAGCTGATCCTCTTTCAGAACCCGCAAACCCAAATTCCTTAGTTTTGAGATGAGTCATCCACTCCGATGATTTCGATTTCTCCCTAGATTTGTTGATTAATTCCTCCAAAGATTGCTCAAGAGAAAGCATACAATGCTCCAATTCATCCTCAAGATCAAACTCCAATGGCGGAATTTGACTCACATTTGCGCGAGATTTCGTCTACTGTCCCCAAGCATACTCCAATAGAGCTTCAGAACTATTCGAGCCTCTAGAGTTCTTCCTTGCAGTCACCTCCTCCTCCTTCGAGCTACGTTTCCCCTTCTTCTTCCTCGCCATGGCAGAGGAAGCTACAGAGAGAGAATTATAGAGAGAGAAAGTTTAATATTGCGTCTATTGTGTATATTTTTGTAATATTTTATTTATTTAAATTTGTTATGATTGTTCTATTATTTAGGCTGTATATATTTTTTTGAAATACGGTTATATATTCTTTTTGTTTTCATCAATTACCATTTTTTTTAAAGGAAAATAATAAAAAATATTAAAAGTTTTTGGCGGGAAATTTTTTAATGTTAACGTGACACCTGTAATTTTAGAATATTCCTGGTGATTACTTTAGTACATAGTTTTTATTTTGATATTCTAATGTATAATGGTGATGGGCATGCTCATTGGCGAAGCCTAGCCTGTGGTCAATTTCCCGCTTCTAAGGGCCACGGGCTATGTCGTATTGTCGTACCTATGTTCTTTATTTCTAAGCTTAGGCTAGTCCAACCCAATGCCATCTTTATCGACTAAAGAGGATCCAACCTTATGCACCATGTTACCCTCTAGTCCTCTACACTCTAGTCTAAAACTCTAAAAGACACTCTAGTCTAGAAGAAGAGATTTGACATCGTCCAAGGAAACGTGGCAAACTCAAGGACGAAACCATCACAAACATAATAACATAACCCTGGGATTCTCAAATATCATAATTTGATTAGATTTAAATAATTAAATAAAATTAATCATCTTGGTCTGTCACTTCCACCACACCCACATCTTTTGTCCTCCATCTCATCACTCATCAATAAACGAGAAACGACACTTTCTTCATCTTTCTCTCTCTGTTTCTCAGATATATATCTTCGATTCGCTTACCATTATCCGCGATCTCATCAATTCACGAACCCTAGATTTCTAGATCTGTCCAATTTTCATTCATCATGCCGTCCGTTTACTCCGATCGTATGACTACATTCGAGGATTCTGAGAAGGAGAGCGAGTATGGTTACATTCGTAAGGTAATTGATTTTTTCTATCAATTTCATTGATTTTTGTTGTTTTTCTTTGTTTGATCTGGTTTGATTGAAGTATTATGCATTAATTGTTTCAATTTTGTTGATTTTTTGGTTTAATTTTGCTGTTTTAGAATCAGTTGATTGTTAGTTGATTTGTGGTGATTAGGTTTTTTATTGTTGTTTTGACTTTTTTTTTTATTTGTTGAATCATAGTTTATAGTAGTAGTTATGATTTGATGATTTATCGATTGTTTTTTGGTTTCATGATTTGGTTTGGGGATTTATGAATTTGAAGATTGCGGAAAGTTTTAATTTTGATTTTGTTTTGATTTTGGGATCTCACATTGCTTAACCTAGTTTTACCTTGAATGTATGATGCTGGAATTTTGTTGCAGAAAGTTACAGAATATTCAGATTGTCTTTTTTGAGCAAGTTTTAACAAATCTTATGGAAGAAAAAAGACTTTTTGAAAGTGGACTTTATTTTAATCTTTTTTAGCTTATAATGACATTGGGTTTTAGTACGATAATCATGATTTAAGATTTATCATCGTATGATATCGAGTTTTTGTGGGTCAACATAAGGACTGGGATTGATCATTTCAATTTATGATCCCTCAATTGAACACCTGTTTTTGTACTTGTTTAGGATTTATGATGTTATCAAATTTCAAATTGGATGGATCATAGTGTCTTCTGAACTTCATAGCTATAATAATGTGCTTATCTTTTGATGCTGAGCTGTTTCGGCTTCTAATGCCCTGAATCAATAAATCTATAGGTGTCAGGACCTGTCGTCGTTGCTGATGGAATGAATGGTGCTGCTATGTATGAATTGGTTCGTGTTGGTAATGACAATCTTATTGGAGAAATTATTCGACTAGAAGGAGATTCTGCCACCATCCAAGGTATTAACATTTCTAGCTCTTTCTTGTTAATATTATTCTTTTGTTATTGATTTAATTTATTAGCCATTACAATGTTTTATGGCCATTTTCTATTCAACTTAGAATAAGTTTCAAGCAACCATGTCCATAAGGATAGTGTAAGTTTAGTTCAGCAAAATAAGTTTCATAAGACTACAACATATATTTTATTTAATTTAATTTCAATCCAGTAATGATAAGTTTAGTTCAACTAATTTATCTGAGAAGAGCAAGCTTTCATCAGATTTTGTGTCATGCCCTTGTTAAAAGTAAGGTTTCTTTATAATTGTGGTTGGCTGAATTCCAGTTTATGAAGAAACTGGTGGTTTGACGGTGAATGATCCAGTTCTTCGTACTCACAAGGTAATCATCTCACTTGGTGTTTCTGATGCTCTTTTCCTTTCACAATGTTCCGCTTAGTATTGGCTTCTGACTTATTTAATCCTATATTTAGCCATTGTCAGTTGAGCTCGGACCTGGAATTTTGGGGAACATTTTTGATGGTATTCAGGTATGAAGTTGTGTTCTGCCTTTTAACCATTATTGTATTCTCCTTGTGAAATTATACCGGTTCACTCTAATTATTGCTGAAATTCTTGGATGACATTTTTTTTTAATATATGCAGAGACCACTGAAAACTATTGCTAAAAGGTCAGGTGATGTATACATACCCCGTGGTGTTTCTGTGCCACCCCTGGATAAAGACGCTCTTTGGGAATTCCAGCCTAATAAATTAGGTAATATGTTGTTTATTGTCTACTTGCCAGTACTCTTGTGTATTGCCTTTGTTTTTATAGGTGTCCTATAGAACTGAATTGAGAATTGATGTTTGTAACAGGTGAGGGTGATCTTTTGACTGGTGGAGACTTATATGCTGTAAGTTGTGTGCTATCTTGACCATCTCCAGTTTGGTGTTTTGAGCTTCCCAATTTTTTATGCTGAATTTATATCTCTGTACCTGAAACTTGTGGTTGCAGATTGTGGAAGAGAACAGTTTGTTGCAGCACCGTGTGGCTCTTCCTCCTGATGCTATGGGAAAGATTACATACATTGCACCTCCAGGGCAATACTCTATTCAGGTTGGTTCTTAAAATTTAATGCTTATCACATATTTCTGGATTCAAGCTTTGCCTGGGACTTAATGTGAAATCCAGTTTTAATACTTTTATGTCTATTTACCTTTTCTTTTAATCTGATCTTTAATTATGCATGCAGGACACTGTCCTGGAACTTGAGTTTCAAGGCATGGTTAAGAAGTTTACTATGCTTCAGGTAATTAAAGGACATTCTTCTTTTGCTTGGAAGTATTAGTTTCTCTACTACTTCAATTGCAGTTTCAATTAAATTTCTTTATGGAATTCTTGATTCTTGGCTGTCCAGTGATTTCCTGATATATACTGACTTTCGTTTGCAGTCTTGGCCTGTCCGTTCACCAAGGCCTGTTGCATCAAAACTTGCTGCTGACACCCCTCTACTCACTGGGCAGGTGCATACTTTGGAATTGCATTGTTTTGTCACTCTTAATTCGTGTTAAAGTTCTTTTTTTGTTTCATTGGTTTCTGCTTTATTCAAGATGTTGCTGACTTTATATTATTTTTTCACAGCGTGTTCTTGATGCTCTTTTCCCTTCAGTTTTGGGTGGAACTTGTGCCATTCCTGGGGCTTTTGGATGTGGAAAAACTGTCATTAGTCAAGCACTTTCTAAGGTAATCTGTCAGAATATGTTTTTAAAGACTGTTTTCCATGATGTTGGAACTTGGTTTTTTGTCATGTAAATCTAAAGCTTTTTAATGTGTCTTGTGCTGATTGCAGTACTCCAACTCTGATGCTGTGGTTTATGTTGGTTGTGGAGAGAGAGGAAATGAGATGGCTGAGGTATATTTTTGAGTTGATGGGATTTTTTCTAATATTGCTTCATTGATGTAGAGAATTTGACTTAAAATTCTTCAATTCAGGTTCTCATGGACTTTCCTCAACTGACAATGACATTGCCTGATGGACGTGAAGAATCTGTTATGAAACGGACTACACTTGTTGCAAATACTTCTAACATGCCTGTGGCTGCACGTGAGGCATCCATTTACACAGGTACACTAAGATGGTTGCTGTGGTTCAAGTTCTTTGACAAGTATTTACTGTTCGGAAATATTTTTGTCCATGCTTGCCATTTTGTTATTAGTGATTGATGTTGATGGATGTTCTGCTTTTATGAGAAATTCTCTTCTTTTTCTTGCAGTGATTGATAGTTTACATCTTTTTTGAATGTTCAGGTATTACAATCGCTGAATATTACAGAGATATGGGGTACAATGTTAGTATGATGGCAGATTCAACTTCTCGATGGGCAGAAGCTTTGCGTGAAATTTCCGGACGACTGGTGATCATCCCATTTAACTTTCCATTTTTGTATATTGTACCTGGTATCTGTTTGTTATGCATGCCATATTGTGTGGTTTGTGCTAAATTCTTGATTTGAGGATGTACTCTGATTTTTTGCCTGTGTTCTTTATTGTGCTGGCTAGTGCTTTACCAGATTACAGAAGTCTCATAATGCTTGTTTGAATCTAAGTATTGTGAAGCTTAAGTGCATAAGGTTGTTAAATCAGGGCATTTGCTTGTGAATGTTTATCTGTTGTTACTCAGCCTTAATTGCTCGTGGCTGTATGATGAGTACATTCGGATGGCTTTTGTTTTGTTATTTTTGTTACTGTACTGTTTTAAGGTCCATCTGTATAACTATTTAGGTCATTGATGATTAGTTCTGCCTTTTATATCTTCTGTTAAATCAGTATATTTGAGAGTTGTATCTGAGATTACTGCAATGCTTATCTTTTTTGTGCTGTCTTATATCTAGCTGTTAAATGCTGATGCTTGGATTGTAACGTTTGTTATTGTATCATATTTGCACAGGCTGAAATGCCTGCTGATAGTGGATATCCTGCTTATTTGGCTGCTCGTTTAGCTTCGTTCTATGAACGTGCTGGTAAAGTTAAATGTCTTGGTGGTCCAGAGCGTGATGGTAGTGTAACAATTGTTGGTGCTGTTTCTCCTCCTGGAGGAGATTTCTCTGATCCTGTTACATCTGCAACACTGAGTATTGTCCAGGTAGGATATGTCTTTATTTTTTCAAATTCCACGAAATTCATCACTCACATTGATAGGGAGACATTAAAATGAGGAGCGTAGTCTTTTTCCTGAGGGGGTGGATTGTGATTTGTAACTTATTATGTTTATATGGAGTAGATTTCTACTGGATACCTTTTGACCTTCATCAGAAAAAAGAATTACCCATCAAACATGTTTTATTTCCCATTGATAAAGGATGACAAAAATTAAGTAAGAGCCTGAGAGGTGAAAGGTTTATGTTTGGAAGGATAATTAGTCGCTTATTGTGATACTAGTTGCTTGCCTAAACTGAACTTATTGACTTCAATTTAGATGATGGGAGATGAAGGTCCACATCAGTTTTTAGTAGTGGCATACTAGATATGGGATTAGTAACTACTCCCTCTTTTTTTTTTTTTTTTTTTTTTTTAAATGCATCACTTTGATTTTTGTACTATTCACATACCATGGTTGACTTAATTTTATCACCTCTACAAAATAAATAAATGTTATTATATATCATTAGATTCGTCACAATGTCTAGTTTCATAATATAATTTTGTTATAATTTTTACTAATTAACAATTAAAGATTTTAGTGGTCAAAGTTGCAACTCAGCTAACGTGCCGGTTAAACTGATGCAAATAATAATAATGAAAAAAGAGTATTTATTTGTGTTTTGGGATTTGTCCAATTCTTGTGCTATGCAACACTATTGTGCAATAATATTTATGAAGATATTATCTTGTTGTGCAGGTTTTCTGGGGTTTGGATAAAAAACTGGCTCAGAGGAAGCATTTCCCCTCTGTCAACTGGCTTATTTCTTACTCAAAGTACTCAACGGTGAGTAATTAAAATCTTTTATCATTAACAAGCCTTTTATGCTATAATAACTTCAGATGGACTATTGTGCCTTTTGCTTAGCAGAAAATATGTATGTTTGCAGGCTTTGGAAACATTTTATGAGAAATTCGACCCTGAGTTCATTGATATCAGGACCAAGGCTCGTGAGGTGCTGCAGAGAGAAGATGATCTTAATGAAATTGTCCAGGTATGCATTGATTTTTGCTTTCTCAAAATTTCTGAGTATTAAAGATCTAATTTCTGAGCATTCTAGAGCTGTGATTGTTGTTTTTGTTTTGAGTATTAGATAGCTTTCCTTTTGCTCCTTTGGAATTTAAGTTATAAATATTAACTGTTGAATTTAACCAATTATTTTTAATGGTTGCAGCTTGTTGGAAAAGATGCATTGGCCGAGACAGATAAAATCACTTTGGACACTGCAAAGCTGTTGAGAGAAGATTACTTGGCACAAAATGCATTTACACCGTAAGCTTTTTATAATATGTGAGGTTATATTTTATGTTATTGTTTCAATATAATAAAATCTTCTGCCTGGTGGTAACAGATATGACAAATATTGCCCATTCTACAAGTCAGTCTGGATGATGCGCAACATTATCCATTTCTATAATTTGGCCAATCAGGTAGTTTTCATTCCTCTGCATTTGTTTACTCTGGATTTTCTTGCTAGCATATTTCCAGTTGACAGTTAAAGGGTTGTGATTTAAGTATGCTGCCCATATGCTCCTCGATAAAATTTGAGATTGCTGTAAGATAGAAAGAGGAAAGGAATTTATATATGAGACTGTAAATATGTATGAGCTAATTTCATGTTAAAAGTGGAAATTTTAAGATTGCGTGTTTCTTTCGTATTACGTGTTGCTTTTGCTTTGCAAAATATGCTTAATGATGTTCTGAATTCACTTTATTTATCTATGATTAATCTCATAATAAGGCAATGTAACAAAGTATTTTATTCGTCAACAATTGGCAAGGTTTACTGGTAATAGAAAGTTTAGTTTTTTATGGTTCAATGTTGCTGATGGTATTTTGCTTTGTCGGTTTGATTCTAGTCTGTGGAGCGCGGTGCTGGTTCAGATGGTCAAAAGATTACCTATAGCTTGATCAAGCTTCGTTTGGGAGATCTCTTCTACCGTTTAGTGTAAGTGGAAAATCTATAGCTATCTCCAAGTTTGAGTAATATCATTCTCTTGACAAGCAGCTCATAATGTAATCATCTTTGACAACAGGTCACAGAAATTCGAGGATCCAGCTGAAGGTGAGGATGCTCTTGTTGCCAAATTCAAGAAGTTGAATGAAGATTTGACTGCTGCTTTCCACAATCTTGAGGATGAAACTCGATGATTAGCTTGCAGTTCAGTTTAATCTCTGTTGAGCAGCAGGTAGTCCAGTTGGTTGGAGCTGCTGCTTTTCCCCTTGTACAAGAAACACCAAAACACTTGCACAGACAGCCTTGCTTGCTTTGCAGCCGTTTTTGGCCCTTTGTATTTTTCCCCCTTTCCGAGGCTTGTCTGGATGTAGTGTTACAATGTTGATTACTTTATTTATTGTTCCCGGTATAAAATAAGATCCCTTTTACACTTGAGGGTAAAATAAGTTCATTCATGAGTTTATGTGAATTATGAGGCCGAGAACTTTGTGGCGAGTACCCTGTGATTTAGTAGGAGTAGGGATTGCATTTGTATTCTTAATTTATTTCCTTCATACTGCTGAAGCTGAACTGGGTATCACCTTTGTATTATTGGTTGTAGCATTATTTTCAGCAGCTGAGACGTGGTTTTATTGACATTTTTATCGGGCAAAATTCATGCAATTTTATTTTTACCCTTCTTGCTGAATTAGCGAGTTTCTCTTGACTTAGAATGTTTTATGAATATTTTCCTCAAAAAAAAAAAAGAATGTTTCATGAATATGGATGAACTTTTAAATTAGCAGTCGTAAGCAGTTATCGTGCATGGTTTTATCCAGGGAAGCAATAAGGAATAGATGAAGAATTGAACGGGGAGGATTTGAATTACTTAAGAGTTACATCGAAACATGAGAAGAAGGATGTTGTAAATTTTAACTGCGCTTAATCTGCCTTTTTAATATCCCAATTTGCTTATTTATACATACAATCATGGAACAAAAATGAGTGAAGTTTCCACTATAAAATACTGTACTCTTGTGAATTGAGAGTAATACTTGATGCATGATAAACATTATTGGCAAATGGCATAACTGTGTCTTGATTCTGAAACATTTTGAGGGCCTTGTGCTATATAAGAACGATTTCTCATAATATTGTTGAAATAAAAACCAATTCCCATAATACATTGATTTAAAAATAAATTCCCTACATAGTTATGCCGTTGTCTAAGATCTTGTTAGATTCATTACAAACTCTACTATGAAAATATTATAATTTGTAATTTTTATGCATATAGCATTCAATATAATTATGTCTTAAAATGTATATTGAAAACTGTAAAAAGTCAAATGGAGCAAACAAATAAGGACAGAGGAGGTAACTCTTAATCGGAGAGAGTTACTATAAAATCAAATTTCAAATATTGTATGAAAAATAAAGATTCAAAACAAATGAAACAAAATATTAATTTTGTTAATTTGAGAATTTCTGGGTACAATTTCTAATTTGATCCTTTGATTCAATATCCACTTTGACTTTGACGTAATTCACGGTTTGATTTGAATTCTTGATTGAGAGTCGTCAATGCTTGATCTCGATCGAAGATAGATATTTGATGAAGACCTTTGACTTAAATTCTTATTTAAGACCCGATGACGCTTAATCCTTATCGAAGATACTTGATGTAGACCTTTGACTTGAATTCTTGATTGAGGGCCGATGAGGCTTGATCATTAATCGAAGATATTTGATGTAGAGGTTTAATTGTGTTTGATGTTTCGAAGTTCTTTCTTTTCTCCCTTATTGAGAGTCGTCGCGGCTTGATCTCATCGAAGGATGGTCTTGTAGAGTAGAATGACACATCATATGCTTATTGTTCTTCTTTTAGGCTTTGAGATGTTTTCTCTTCAGAGTTGTAGAGTTTAATGATTCTCTTGATTTCTTCTCCCCAAATGTACCAGAGAGAGCTCTATTTATAGAGTGAGTGACTCTTAAGGTTAGGGTTTAATGTACATTAAAGTTATACCTTTGATATTGACTTGATTGTTATAACCCATGGATAATGGAAAATAATTTAATTAAAATAATAAAATGGGATAATTTAATTTATTTCACCCAAATTAGTTACTAATAATATAATAACTTGTCAAATGATATTGAGTCAATAGTTTGACTTTGACTCGTATATATCCAACGTGGCACTTTAAAAAATTATTTTGGTGCCTATAATTACATAGTTAATTAGACATTTTTTTGGATAACAAGAGCTGGGCCTTGGACTAATCAAGCCGCTAAATTATAGGCCCTTTAAGGAGTTTTTCTTGATCATTGGTACTATACTAACATGGAAGAAATGTTGATGAATTATCTAATAAACTAGTTAGTGATCTAGGCGATGCCCCGCATTATATTTTATAGATGATTGTGGATATAGAGTGATTGAAACTTATAGCTTTTCATATTATTACTCTGTATTACACAAATTAAAAGAATCAATAAATTGAATTGACTACAAATATCAATTCCACAATGTTTTCTGTAGATTATTTGATAGTTTAAAAAGTTAGATTTTTTGTAAATCGTAGATTACCATTATAGTCCTAAAAAACTATACCGTTTGTACTCTTATCCTACTATACCATCGTTTTTTTCACTCCCTATAAAGAGTCCAATGTACGTAGTATATTTCATTTTTTTTTCTTGTCATATCTCTTCGTAAAGTGTCAACCAAAATAAGTCAGTTGAACAATACTGCAAATAGCACACACACACACAAAAGAAAAAAAAAACATATAAATAATTGAAAACTAAGAGAAATGACATCTAATCACAGAATGTAAGCTATATTTCAACAAATGATGAACTTGTGTAAGAAGACATATTAACACTACACACACCGTTGATTGATATGATAGAAAATTAAATGGTAACAAACCTTATTAGTAGTATATAAAAACTATTGGGGAACGTAGATTACAATTTTCAAATTAATAGTTATAAATCTACAGATAAGCATGTTTTCACATCATAATTTTATAACTATAAGTTTGATCAATATTAATTAAAAAGGGTTCATATTAAACAATATTAATAAGTGCATGAATTTAATAATCTATATTATCTTTCATTTATATATACTTGTATAAGATATGTCTCATTTAAACATAGAGGTTATACATATGAAAAGTTTTTAAAGTAAATTAAACATTATTGTAGAGAATTAAAGTCACACCAATGAAGAGTTTTTCAAGTAAATTAAACATTATTATAGAGAATTAAAGTCAAGCAAATGAAGAGTTTAATACAATTATTCAATGTGGGAGAGAGAAGGGTAACACACATAGGATGACACATGCCACAAACATGGCGCCAACTCATAAGGGTGACATATGGCATTACCATGTTGTTCCCATGAGTTTTAATAATATTATAGATAGATAGTGGGAGTGAAGTATAGCTCAAATACTTAGAGCTTTCTTTCCCGTTTCAGGGATCTTGGGATCGATTCTCATCATCTGCTCTTGTGGCTCTCTGAACACCAAAAAAAAAACATCTAATAAGTAGTTGACCCCTTGAAAACTTGTTTGTTAACTCGATAAGATGTATTTTCTTGGACGATGTTGATGGGCGATATAAATGACTAAAACTTTTATACTACCTTCGTAAACTATTAGTTGCTACTTTGAAATATTTTATAGAAATATATCACAAATCTAATATCATATCATATTACTAATATATAAATCCGGTCTCGCAACCAGGTTACGAGACATTGACACTTGACATTTCAGTTTTCGCCAAATATCGATACACCTAAGTGACAAATAGGTAATATTGTGACACATAGGATGCTTTTAAGATAAAATTGTCGTATAGTGCTTTATTAATGATATACTTCTAATATTTCATATATACAAAATTAATTGTAAATTTTAATAAATCTAATCTAATCTAATATATATATATATATATATATATATATATATATATAAAGTAGGCTTTTTTGGAGAGCGTTGAGAGCGCTACATAAGAAAAGGTATATTTTCGACCAATTAAAAATTAGATTTCTATTTTATTTTAGAATTAAAAAAATCACTCGCCACCTAAACAAAAGTGACGAATGAAATTTTAAATTTTTGCCACGTAGGTAAAAACGACGAATAGTAATTTATTAGGATTTTAATTATTTAAGAACACTAAATTTTATCATTTTTATTTGTTACAAAACAAAAAATTATCTTTATATATTAGGATTTATATCATTTAAAAAACTAAAAATTATATTTTGATATTTAAAAAATATAAATTATCATTTAATGTTAATGGTTTTATGTAAATATCTGATGATATAATACTTTCATACAAAATTTTAAAACTTATAATGCAAGAAAAAAAAATTAAGAGATCACCACAAAAATATTTATATAAAAAAATGTATATAAAAATTTGTGCATCGCACGCCACATAAGCAAAAGTAATATTTCGACCAATGAAAAATTAGATTTATATATTAATTTACAATTTTAATTTTCAGTCGCCATTTAAGAAAAAATTAACAAATGAAATTTGAGAATTGAAAACAAAAAATAGTAATTTAAGATTTAAATTATTAAAAAAAACAAAAATTATCTTTTATATTATCTTTTACATTAGGATTTATATTATTTTAACAAATAATTAAAAATTAAAAAATATATTTTGATTTAATGATTTTATCTAACTATCCGATGAATGAGATAATATTTATTTCAATTTATAAATTCAAGTTCTATATACGTTAAATTTAAATAAGAATAATTTAAAACTTAACAAAATATTTTACCTTAAATTAATGTTAAAATAATAGAATAGAAAATAAAAACAAAAAAAAAATTAAGAAATTACAAAAAAAAAAAAATATACAAAATGAATACAAACTTTTAAATAAAACGGATGTTCAGTAAATTACTGAACATCCGTTATAAAGTGACAATAAAAATGTGCAAAAGTTACAATAAAACGCACAAAAGTTACTGTGACATATATAAGAGTTATTTATGCTTTATTGATAAATTTGACAAAAGTGATACTAAATTTGACAAAAGTGACACTAAATCTGACAAAAGTGTACCCGATGTACAGTAAATTACTGAAAACCGGGTGTATACAAAAGTTTTTCCAAAATGAAATATTTAAAAACCGTGCATTGCACGGGCTTACATCTAGTATCTTATAATTCAGTACTATTTCCAATCATAAAATTCGTTTTAAAAAGTTCTTTAAATGAGATCCATCTATAATGTGTTTTAATAAAAAATAGAAAATCAGTAAAAATAAGTTTTATAAATAATTTAAGTGCAATAAATAATATCAAATTATTAATAACATAGATATTTATTTACAAATAAAACTACAAAAAGTACACTATAATATCAATAAGCGATATTATATGATATCGTATGTCTATATATTTTACATTATCAAAAGGGTTTATATGATCGTATTTAACATTCAAACTAAAACATTTAGGAAAATCCGGGCATAGTTCGGGAACAAACTAGAATTTTCGCCAAGTGTCGCGTCACGTAAGCGACAATATAGATATTACACAAATTTTTGTATGTGGCTGGCCACACGGTGTGGCCAGCCACAATTTTTATTTTTTATTTTTTTATAAAAATACTACAACTCTTCTTTCTCCTTTTTTTTCTTAGCTTCTCTCCAAGCCAAATCACACATCACCAACAACCATATCTCTACTCCACCCATTTTCTCTCTCCTCTTTTCTTAGCTTCTTCTTCAAGCCAAACCACACATCACTAACAACCATATCTCTACTCTACCCATTTTCTCTCTCCTCTTTGCTAAATTGCCTACAATTAAAGCCCGAAATTGTAGAAATTGGGTGTCAAATTGTTCATGAACAATATTTGAAGTAGTGAAATCGATGAGAACCAAAGAAATTTGAGCTCTTTCTTTGTGGAATCTCAAATCAAACATTCTACGTCAAAAATTGTAGGGTGTTACTAGTTTGGTCAGGGGTTACTTATAGGGTGTTACTGGTTTGGTCAGGGGTTACATGTAGGGTGTTACTAGTTTGGTCAGGGGTTACTTGTAGGGTGTTACTGGTTTTGGTCAGGGGATACTTGTAGGGTGTTACTGGTTTTGGTCAGGGGTTACTTGTAGGGTGTTACTGGTTTTGGTCAGGGGATACTTGTAGGGTGTTACTGGTTTTGGTCAGGGGTTACTTGTAGGATGTTACTGATTTTGGTCAAGGGTTACTTGTAGGGTGTTACTGGTTTGGTCAGGGGTTACTTGTTTTGGTCGGGGGTTACTTGTAGGGTGTTACTGGTTTGGTATGGGGCCTACAAACAACCCTTTTTTTTTTTTTTGAAACCAACCTACAATCAACCCTTGAATAAGTAACAAGTAACCATTGAATAAGTAATTCATATAAGTAACCTTTGAAGTAACTCATATAAGTAACCCTTGAATAAGTAACTCATACAAGTAACCCTTGAATTAACCCATAAAAGTAACCCCTAAAAAAATTATATAAAAAAAAAGTACCCTTGAAAAAAAAATATAAGTAACTCCTGAAAAAAAAATACAAGTAACCCCTGAAAATACAAGTAACCCTTGAATAACTAATCCATACAAGTAACTCCTGAAAAAAAAATACAAGTAACTCCTGGAAAAAAAAATACAAGTAACTCCTGAAAAAAAAATACAAGTAACTCCTGAAAAAAAAAATACAAGTAACTCCTGAAAAAAAAAATACAAGTAACTCCTAAAAAAAAATACAAGTAACTCCTGAAAAAAAAATTACAAGTAACTCTTGAAAAAAAAAATACAAGTAACCCCTGAAAAATACAAGTAACCCTGACAAAACCAGTAAGCCCGTTATGCGCGTGAACAGTAACCCCGTTATGCGCGCGTTAGAATCCGTTATTTTTACTGACTTGGCAGCAGGCCACACGGTGTGGCCTGCTGCACCAAAAAAGCTCTGTAGATATTATTGTGATTATATTAGACATCGCGTTAGATAATTAGATTGGATAGATATGTTTAGGATAATGTAAAGTATACATATATATTATAGTTTATAATTTTTTGGAAAAAAAAACTTATCTTTTTTATTGACAATAGAATTTTGCTTATAGCAACACACTACATATATATTATAATTAATATGAATATCCAATTAATTATAGAATTGTACTCCTATACGAGAAACCATGTAATTATAATTATAAATATGACATGTATCATTAATTTTTTTAGTCTACCATTGATTTACCATTAAATGGTCCAATTAGATCAATAATATAATATGTTGATTTTATGTGTCAAAACAATAATTACTTTTGACTTTTTGTATTTTTTTTTTTTACCAACACATTCGTCTTTTCACAAAATTATACTCCATCCCTCTATAATTTGGTGTTTCATTGAAATTTAAATTAGCACATATGTCGACATAGAACTTTGATAAACAATATCTTAATTATATATGTTTTTAATGTATAGTTCACAAACATTGGTCATAGTAGACCAAATGAATATAGTGCAACTTACAAAAACACAAAATAATAATAAATGTGAAAAAAGAATTATAGATACGTAGTGTTTCTACTCTTGTATTCAACATATATATAAGTTGATAAATATATTATTTTACGATTTCTTTTCTAAGTTTTGGAAGAAAATATTTAGATTCTCTATCAATTTTTTAAAAAGTTTTTTTTTAAAAAAAAATACAAAGGGCATACTAGAAAATGACATGTGTATGTCATTGCTGGTGTATCTCTTAGTATATAGTTATTGATTGATTAATTGATTGATACTACGTACATTAGATTAGATTTGATTTTAAAAAAATAAAAATAAGCCATGCATCACACAAGTTTCCTCTAGTTCTGCCTGAATTCCTTGAAAAGATTAAGGGATAAAAATCTAATAGGGCAAAAATTATCAGAGGATCTATTATAGGGTTTGGCACTAATAATGGAGCAAAGGTTTCCTCCGTTGCCAGGAGTAACTTTAACGAGCCATAATAAGTTCATTAAAAATGGATTATACCAATTTTTGTATGATTTTGCTTTGATGGAAGGGAGATGGTGGGAGTTGGGAGCGTTGAAGACATGTTGGTAAAGAGGAGAGTGAGAGAAATGGAAATTATGGAGTAAATGTTGAGGGGATAAATATTTTATTAGGGGGCGTCGGTAACTTTTTACCCTTTTTAGGGAAATACATTACTCTCTTAAAATTTTACTCCCCATCTAGGCAAACAAAAATACTCCGTACTTGAATTTCTTACTCAAAAATACTCCCAATCCAGACAACAGCTAATAATACACAAAGTACGGACGGAGTAACACTTAATGAAGAAATACAAGATACTATATTATCGCTAATTCAGATCAATAAATTAAAAAATTAATTCAACCAGAACAGAACCCGATAAAAACAACTCAAATGCGTGGCCTCGTCCTTCTCCTCCTTAACAATTAAGGCATCATATTATCACTCATCGTGGCCTCGTGAGAAAAACTCTCATCAACGCGGAAAAACCAACAAATAGAAATAACCAACTTCCTTCATCTCACCTCCATTAGAGAGAGAAAAAAAACAGCATCAATGGGTTTACAATGGATGCTACTCACCTACGCAGTTGCAGCTGAGGCCGCCATTTTTCTTCTCATCTCTCTTCCTTCACCTAAGCTCGTCAAAACTCGCATCGTTTCTCTTATCTCTCTCATCCTTCAGCCGTTAATGTTCATCGTCCCTTTTGCTGGCTTTCAGCTTCTCGGTACCTCTTTCTCTCTCCTCCTCTTCATTTTCCTTTTTTTTTGTATGATTGTTGATTATTGATTTTGATTTTGATTTTGATTTTAGATATTTATTGGAAGTATGAACACCGATTGACGTGTACTTCTGAGATCTGCACTGCTTCTGAGAGGGATCGCTATGAAAAATCGGTATTTTTCTCATTTTTAGGGTTTCAATTTTTTGATTTTGTGTAATTTGATGTCTATGTTTGTGTGTTGTTTGGTTTATTATGATTCATAATCATCGGTAAATTGATTGCTGTCATATTTATGATTAATGGAACTCTTTGATTGCGATTGATTTCTTTTTGCTATATTGTTGTTTTGTTGTTGAGAGTTTGTCGTGGATATGCTGCTAGTTGTTGTCATGTCGATTTCGAGGTTTTGCCTGACTGTTGGCGATTGCATTGTCCCTCTAATGGAGTAGAGTGGCTGTGCCAAGGGGGGTTTTAGGGATATAGTTACTTAGTTAGTCCTCCTTTTGGCTTTTGATGGTTGCAATTTATAATCGAGTTTTAGGAATGCAAATTTGTTGTGAGTGAACCTTAATTACAAAGGTGGTGTGGGTAGTTGTGGACTTGTGCTGCTTTGGCTATTGGAATTTGAAGCTGTTGGCTGTGAGAAAAGATGATTGGGTACTTTGTTTGTTAAGGGTAGACAAGAATAGTTCTAAGAATTTATTCCCGGAGTAGAAATGCTTGGATTTGTGGAAATTTAATTTCAGAATTGTAGAAAAATATGATCATATTTGACATTTGGAAACATAGTCACTTTATTGTGGGTTATGCATTATTAGTGATCTTGATTCGTTGAGTTCCTTTTCCCGCATAGGATTGGCTAAGTGCTATTTGCAGGTTCATGTTTTTTCTTTGCAAAAGCATTCTATTCCGTCTCCCACGTAGAATCCACACTAGAAAACTTTCTATATTTAAGATCCGATAAGTTGATGTCTAGGTTATTGCATTATTGTGGTCAGCTGAAGAAGTGTTTTGCTTTTTTTAGCTTGGAACCTCGGTCATATGAAGTCATCCTGGACGTTTGGAGTAATGCATCTATTTTGACTGCTTTAAGCATCTGCCTATCTTTGTACTTTTAAGTTTTTGTTGTAGTTTCATACCCTCATTTGCCTCCTCCCCTTCTAAGTATGATAGGCAAGACCATATCATAACCATAATTGAAGAGGGACCACCTATTGTGGAGTAGAGACTAGAGAGTATAGTGTGGGTATGCACTTTTACGTTTAGTGAATGGTAGAATAACTTGGATTTGAAAATGTTTGTAATAGCTCGGGAGAATTTGAGCATGTTTTATTTTCTGTATTAGCATTATTTTGGGAGGTATGCTTTTTATTTGGCAGTGTTGTGAAGTGTTATCGAAATTTAACTGTACAGCTATTTGATGTCTAGATTTTTAGCTTGTGCCCCCCTCCCTTTTGTTTTCTTTTTAATTTCCCCCCTAATGCCTGTTCTATGGCCTACCTCTTTGTTTCATCTCAGCTTATTATTGTTTTGTTTCCTCTTATTTGCCTGTTTTTTTTTTTTTTCTCTTTTCTCTCTTAAATTCTTCTCCTCTCTCCATAGTCTGAACTACTCCCTCTCCATAATCTCTATCAAGCTGGTATCAGGGCTTACTTCATTACTCATTGTTGTTGCTAGTCTGTATCATATAACTAAATAGTAGCTGAGGTCTGAGGATGCTATGTTTTACAAAATATCCATTTGGAAAAGGTTCTTGCTAGTGGATAAGCTTAGAATTTATGGAAATACAAGTATATATTAAAAGATATTAATAGTCAAAGATGTAAATTGAAGACCTTGATAAAGCAGGTGTAACCATTTTAGTGAAATGGGGGTAACCTACTAATATCACCTCTATATCATCTTTTTCTCCTTGATTTCTTTTTGACTTTTACCCTCTCTTCTATGGTAGGAGTGGGATAGGGGTTATGGAGAAATATGCTACTAGAAAAATATAGTGAAGTCATTTTCTTGCAAAATAGGAATGAGAGAGGGGTGCGAAGCATTATGATAAACTGGTGAGGCTGGGCTGGTGCCACTCCCAGCTAGCTTCTATACGCCTTCTTTTGTCTGCTTCACTCTTCATTTTGAAGCATTTGTTGGATTTCAAGTCAAAAAGAGAATCCTTGTGTGATAAATTAAACTTATAAATGTGAAGTGAAACAAAATTCTTTGGCGTTGTGTATCCTTCTTACAGCTGAATCTTGAACCTTTCCATATATTCATTCCATGTGTGGTGCTCATTTGGTGTGGATTTATGCATGCATGACTACAATAGGCGGTTATTTTCTATAAAATTTAACCGTGGCGTCTTTTTCCTTGACAGATGTACAAATCTCAGAGGAATGTGATTCTTTGTGCTTCAGCCTGTCTTCTCTACTGGTATGTGTGCAGCTGCTGAAATAATGAAATTTTTAGTGTGCAAAACAAAGTTTTCTATGGCTTGATTATGATTAATGAAAATTGGCCGTATTCTAGGTGCATCTACCATGTGTGCAGGTATTACAAGGATATTCAAAACCTGGAGGAAGTTGAAAAGAGGTACAAGAAGCTGTAAACTTCCTAAGCTTTCACCTGTTTCTCTACCACAACATGGAGATTAGAAGCTAGTTAAGGCGGTTTTTGATGTCAGGATACACACTTCAGCTACAGGAGGCCCTTCTCATTGTCTTTTTATTTCATTTTTTGTTGTTGAATCTGTGGATGGAATTTATTGTCTATAGAAACTTAAGTAGATTTCTCTTTGTACGTTACCTGTAATGGCTGGCCTGTTCGCCAGAATTTACTGTGAAGTTGTGAATTATTTTAATTTAAACGTATCTATCTTATACAAAGTATGACCTTATTAGCTCTTATAGATCTGAACTAAAACATTTTTTCATGAAATAAGTGGAAATAAAGTGAACTGAAAATGACTTTGATAGTGCATATAGCTATACTCCACTTGACGTTTTGCAGGAGCACAATATAGAAAAGTTTATTATTTTGACGTACAAAAATTAATATGGTGGGGAAGAAATCTGGGAATCCATGCAAACAAGAGCTTCAATACCAGCATTGGTGATTGGACTCTGGGATACATCTCTCATGAGTGGGAAGGAAGACCTCACTAAGACTCATCGAGTTTGTTTGTACTTTGTGGAGTATCTGGCTAACCTACAACAATGTAGTGTTCTGCAACACCAAACTAGACCCGATAGGCACTATAAAGCAAATTGAACACTGGACGAGCAGGCGATACTAAGGTAAAGAGATGCATAACAATGGGCACAGGAAGGATAATGCTGGTACAGAAGCGAAAGGAAGTAAATCAGAAGTAATCTGGAGTCGGGTGATCACTACAGGAACTACCCCATAAGGATCCTTATTGATGGAGCTTGGAAGAAGAAAATGATAGATGGTGGTAAAGAAGACTGAGTGCAGCAGCAGGATGGGTCTTTACAATAATGGGGTTAAAGTTCAGTCCAAAAGCAAGACCATCTTTGCCAGCACTCCCCTACAAGGTGAGGCTATGGCAGGACTTCTAGCACTAACAGCTACGACCTTACAGGGAAGGACGTCAGAATTATAACGGTCTCAACAACATTAGTCCACGGCTTCATCAACACAACAGCAGCAGCTTGCGAAATCAAGGATATATACATCCGCGATATCAAAGCAAAGAATAGCCTTCTAAAATCCCTGCAAATTAGAAAAATGAATAGAGATGTAATAGCAGAAGCCCATAACCTGGCAATTAGGGCTAGAAAGGGTTAATTTTCTCTTTTGCTAACTGAGTTAAAAAATAAATAAATAAAAAAAATAAAAAAAAAAAAAATGAAAAAAAGGTTCATTACTTTCAAAGAAATTGTGAGACTAAAGTTTACAGCATAGGATATATTTTCAATTAAAGCTTTTATTGTTAAAAAAAAAAAAAAATTACATAGAAATATCGAATGCTATTATACTGAAGTTTGATATATACTCCATATTCCATAACCAGCATTAAGTAAAAGAAATGTACATCAACACAAATTATTACGATTGACTACATCGAAGGTATCCCCTTTACATTTCCCTTTGATGATCTCTTTCTTCCTATACATTGGAAATGCAGTTTTGTATGCTCAAGTCAAAGCACTTCCCAACTGCATAGAAATAAATACAATCAATTAAAATCAAGAACTTATAAGCTAATTGAAAACTATCATAGGAAAGTCAGAAAGAAAAACAGTTAATTGTATGCAATTGGTAGATAAGACCAATTAGATTCAGCATATACCGTAAAAACAAGTCTCAGCATACAAAAGAAACTTTTAAGTATTTGCCTAACTAGTTCGACTTAAATTAAGGGCACAATCAACATCTCGTCCCCTGAACCTGTTACATTAAGGCAATTAACCGAACTTGCAAAGGAGTTCACTTCTACGGTATAGTGTAAGTCTACCATCTCTTTTTATTCTAAACATCTTATACTCATGTTGCTCATTCGGGTTTGAGTCAAGGATCCTTGCATACCTCCGAGGTAAACATAACAGAGTAGTATCTTGAGGAAGGTATTTTGCAAGAAAGGTAATGCTAGTAAATATAAAGGTTTGTTTCTTAATCATAATCTTGACACTCTCTAAGCTATCCTTTTTATGAATCTTTCCAAATGTGTTTAGTTACGATGGAGTTCTACAAAGATAATTTTATTCCCCGATATCACAATTCAATTCCAAAACACCATTTAGCAAAAGAAGGCTTACTTTGACAAGGTTAGTTGGAAACCATGCTCTCAGTTTCCTGCACAAAGCCATCTCCTGTCCAGTCTTTATCAGATGCCAAACCTTTTCTGGTGGCTTTTCTTTGCTGTATAGCTTCCTTCTGCATTCGTACCAATTCTGTGTGTGTTGTGAAGTATGGTAAAGAAGCACTGTAGAGGGAAACAAGTTCTTAGAGACAGATTAACAAAGAGCCACATTAGAAATTATCAACTATTGGCGATTTGGCTATACCCTCGAAAATCTTCTATCGACGAGAAATTATGTTTTCTCATGAAGTCCTTTAGTTCAGAGCATAGCTTCTTCACATGACCATACCCATGCATCATGACTCCTGTGCAGACCTGGAAGATGGATATCATAGATGTTATACACTTTTTTTTTTAATAAAATAAAGAAACCTAATACCTTCGCCATCCATCAAGCCAAGTTAGCCAACTAAAACAATCTCTCTAGGGAGGAATACAAAATGTTACAAAATTCTTCACATTGATATCATCACTATTAGAGATACAGGTAGATGTAAACTGCCTCTCCCCCTTATTTAATCAACACATTGGCTAATGCATGTAGATTAATGAGTTGAAAGTAGAGATAAAAAAAGTGGGTGGCCAAATGTGGGGCGCAGGTTTAGTATTTAGCAGAAAATCTTACTAAAATGAAAATGTAGATATTAATGCGAGACTTTCAGAAATAGGATTTACAAGCAATGTTTAAAACAATCTGGTATGGACTGTAACACTAATATAACACAAAGGAGCTGAAGTTGAGGAAGAGAAATGAAAGTAGGGAAAAGGCAAGGACAAACAATAATGATTATGGGTATAATGAAACGAGGACATAGAGCATAACAAGAATAGATGAAATAGTAAATAGTTCCAAAGTGTATTGCTGCAAGCATGGGATTATCAAATACAGATGTTCCAATGTTACTTTGTCAGAATTGTTTCCACTTCCTTTTTGTCAAGTATGTATGACAAAACATCAACCTATAACAGGTCTTTTGATCACAAAACGAAGACCGTCAAAACAACATACAAGCATATAGATAGGAAAATTACTAAGGTTGTACCTGAACAGTATTTGCTCCAAGAAGAATAAATTCAGCAGCATCATCCCCAGTCTCAACACCTCCAATTCCAGACAAGGAATGTTCAGGACTAAAATCTGCCTGCATCATCTTTGCAATACTCATCACTTTTGCAAGTGCAATAGGATGAACTGCCTTTGAAGAATATCCACCAGGGGTTGAGTATCTATAGGTGAAAATTTGACAATTTAGTTATAAAGTAAACCTTGAATTTGCTATGGATAGCAAATTTTAATAGCATAACATAATATGCTCACCCCTCAACACACGGTTCAGGGCGAAGGGTAGTGAGATTGATCCCCATAACACTCTCAATTGTATTGATAGCAGCAATTCCTTCACATCCTGATTTAAGTGCCACCCTTGCTGGCTGTAATGCATGAAAAAATTGTTAATGTCTGACCACTAAGCATTATGCAAAGTCAATAAACTAATACGACCCTAGTTAATAGTCCTTGGCAAGAAATTAAACTAAAATGCTAATGATATCATTCAGTAATTACATTTTTTAATTCCTATATCACCATTCCAATGTAGAAATCTGTATTTCTTTGGAATTTTTAGTAGGTATCATCAAAACTCACATGAAAAAGTTATTATTTCAACATACTCAACAAGAAAGTATTTTACTCTTATCAGACAAAATATGAGAGAAATGTGGTCTATTAGTTTGGGACAGAGATAGATTCAAATTATAACTACACACTCTGTTGAAAGGTGTAGAGCAATAACCACCTCTGTGATATCAGTGACGTTGGGGGTCATCTTTGCCCACACTGGAACAGTAGCTTTAGCATTTATCCAGCCGCTGATCTCCTCTATCAATGCACAATCCTTTCCTACAGCAGAACCCATCTTACGCTCTGGCATACCATGAGGACATGAGAAGTTGATTTCAATTGCATCCTATATAGCGGAAAATAAAAAAGTAGAAATTAGCCCCTGAGATAAAATATTTACTTTAAAGCACCAAAATCAAATCAATGAATGGATGAAGAAATATTACAATTCCTGTTTGTTCGACTCGGTCAATAAGCTCCTCCCATGCAGCTTTGTTATATTCTTCCATGATTGAAGCAATCAAAATTCTGTCAGGATATTCGTCCTTCAACTGCTTAAATTCTTTCAACATAGTTTCAAGAGGCCGATCACTAATGAGCTCGATGTTCTCCCATCCAATTATTTGTCCTTTTGGGGAGCTGTTAGCAACTTTTAATCGTGCATAGCGAGGAGTTACATTTATAACTTTATCAGCCTCCAATGAAACCTAGAAAAATGCGTCTATCAGATAAGGAGTTGCATTCAAATAAGTACCTGCAACCACCTAGTATAAACTCTATTGAGGTGCAATCAGGGAAGGCCAGATTATCAAACAAGTATTGAAAACTTAAACTCCCTTATACCAATTCTCCCTAAAAAATAATAGCCCAAACCAGTTCCCAGAGAGGTAATTGCAGCACTAAAAATAGAAGCCATATAAAAATTTATGGATTTGATAATAATATCCACTGATCAAATTTGGTTTGTTTAACTGAACTGAAGGACCGCTATTAAAAATTCCAAAAAAAATAAATAAAAGGGTGTTAATATCAGTGCCGTTCACATACAATACTCCAACTCAATACCAAGATTGTCAAGACACTTGTTTGAATGCAACCTTAAAAACTACCATAGATCCCCCCCCCCCCCCCCCCAAAAAAAAAATGTACAAGGGCAATAAAGACAGAAAACAGAGAAAAATGTGGAAACAGTTGTTATATGAAAGACAACCTGATAGTTACCAAATTTACATCCTTAATCTAAAGCTTACAGTATACTATTAAACAACTTCTAAAAGAGGCCAATGTTGAGAATTTGAAATGCTGAGCAAGCAAGGCATGTTCAAGAAGAATAACAATCCCTACTAATGATAGTGAATAAACATAAAACTTGCTTCATGAGTGAAATTTTCAATATTTCAAAGGCCATTCTCAGCTCTCAAGATAGACCTCAGCCTATGCTAAATTTTAGGATCTCATACTCC